ATGAAGATAACAATATGCAATGTATTGTTACTTTCCTATTAGCCTGATTTAAAGCTATTTTATTTTATTTCTATTTTTTATCTTTAAAAAAAAGTCAACCCCAACTCATTTACTGTATCTAAAAATCAAAGGAAAAACGAATATTGTGACTTAAAATTGAAGACTTTATACCACTTTCCTCTTGATATATTAGGTAGAAGCAGTCTGTCACTCCTAAGTATAGCAATGCCTTTGTTCCTTGGACATTTCCCTTTCTCATTCATGTAAGACAGCTATCAACAAGAGGTATTAAAAATATTATGTACATGTACCAACTCCCCACAAGGAATGTCATCATTATGTGGCATACCATGTACTAATAAAACAAAGAAATAAATAAAATAAAGATCTATAAAGGTCAAACAAATAATAAGAAACTAAAATATTACGTGGAGTATACTTCCTATATATTAGTGAATATTAGAATATTAATAGGAGAGTATCAATAATTAAAGTCTAAATAAAATACTAAATCTAAAATTTGGTACAACTTATGTGATCATGCAAAAGACTGTAAGGTAAGAAAAATAATATTTAGGTTCCTTTTAGTATATGTATCTACAAAAGAGTTGAAAGAACAGGTTAACATAAGAAAATAGTCCTTTGAAAACTGACACAATGCTGGGTGGTGGTGGCGCAAGCCTGTAATCCCAGCACTCGGGAGACTGAGGCAGGAGGACTGTCGTGAGTTCGAGACCAGCCTGGGCTACAAAGTGAGCTCAAGGCCAGCCTGAACTACATAGCGAGACCCTGTCTCAAAAAGACAAAAAAAAGGACAAAGAAAACTGACACAAATGAACATAGCAAAAGAGAATTTTAAAGTGATAAAGATCCAACAATAAAGTGGACAGGGTAGTACACGCCTATAATCCCAGGTCAGCACTTTGGAGGTTGAGGCAGGAGGATCACACCCAGCCTGGGATATATAGGGAGTTCAAGACCAGCCTAGACTACATAGTGAGACCGTGGGGGGAAGAAGGGAAGAGACTGAACAATAAAGATGTAAAATAGAAACTTTTTTTTTTCTGAACATACAGATTAAATATAAAAAGATTTTTTATTGAATTACTTTATCGTAAAATGGAAACTTTTATACTTCATTATACTAAAATATCAACTTGTTCTACCATCTTTGCCTTGGAAATTTTTCAAATAATTTAGTATCAGTGTTCTTTAATTTAAAGATCCTTAAACCTACATTAAAATGGCAAACTATCTAACTCTCTAAACTAGTACAAATCATTATGCATCAATGAAAATACTTCTAAATGTTTAAAATTTCGTCTCTGAAACACACACACGAAATCTACATTCCACAGTTACCTTGCAAACATCTTCCTTCTCACAAAGTGCTTCTGCCGGACCTTCCACAGCTTCGCCCTGCTCTACCACCTTGTCCAAGACAGCATGTCCTTCATTCGCAGGTGAAGGAACCAACGCATCCGGCTGCTCACAGTTAACAGGAGTTGCACTTCGCCCACTTTCTTCCATTTCTGCTTCCTCAGCAGGTATACTTAACGTTTCATTTACTTCTTCTTCAGGTTTTCCTTCAATAGATTCAACTATTTTAGTCTTTGGAGTTGAAGGATTAACTATAATAGGCACTAAAGCATATCCCTTGCCTGGCAATTCATCATCTGAATTGATTTCGCTTACACTCCGGCTATCTAATGACTGTACACTAAATGAGTCTATTCTTTCAAAAGCGTCCGATGAGCAGCAGCTCTCATTTAGTTTCTGGAAATCATCTAAACGATTATCATCTGGACAAGCAGACGCAGAGAGAAGTTGGAAAGATGTCTGCATCATGTGAAGACTTGATTTTGCATCTGTAGTCTCTTGCCTTGAACTCGCTGAGCTCTCACTTATAACACTCTCATGGTCTAAAACTTCGATATCACTGGTGGTCGAAGTACCTGATGAGAAGGTACTCACAGGAGGAGAAGGAGTATTGCTCTGTCTGTCTTCATGCTTCTGTTCCTTAGGTTCCAAAGCCACATCCTTGGTTTCTGCTGCGAGAGACTGTGTAGAAACAGTAGGTGCAGTTTCCGAACTTGTCTTTACATTAGTAACATTTTCAGATACTTTCAAATGTATAGGTGGCACCTTCGAATCAGGTTCTTTATCAACGGTTTCTTCATGCTGGCCTTCAGTTTTAGGTGATGGGGCAGCTACTGCCAGACTCTGCTCTGATACACACGAAGAAGAGTCCTTTGCTTTTGTTTCAGTTGTTTCAGCAGTTTTTGCGTGTACAGTGTGTAAAGATTCAGATAAGGTGCTTTTCACTTCTTCCTCTGGTCGTTGTGATTTAGCTGGAGGCTTTGAAACCACTGGACTCTTCTGAATGGCCTGGACATCAGGTGGAGAGAGAAAGGCACTAAAGAAATTTTCAGATTCATCTACTACAGTCCTCCGAACCGGCTTTGTAATTGCTTTAGGAGAGGCTGTTGGTGGACTCTGAGGTTCAGTGTTTGATTTCAACCCCCAGGTTGAAGTATCCCATCCTCCACTGACAGGGGAACTTATTCCTTTGACAAAAATGTAAATATTAAAATATATTTATATTAGATTAATGTTTCAATCATCATTATAAATATAAATGTGAATTTATATATCTATGAAATATAACCTATAATTTGACCATTAAACCCCTGGCTTACAAGCCAGGTGTTGGGGCACATTCCTATACTCCCAGCACTCAAGAGGGCTGAGACAGGAGGACGGCTGCGAGTTTGAGCCCAGCCTGGGTTACACAGTAATTCAAGGCCACCCTGAACAACACAGCAACATTCTATCTCAAAAAACAAAAAAAAATTCCTCGCTTACTGCATCATTAATTAGTGCCTGGGTTAACACTGGGCCTTAATAAAACTGGTGTGTACCTGCCTGAGAGGAACTGGTGGTACAGGTAAAAATCAGACCTGGCCTGGAGTAGTAGAAGCAAGTATGTTACTCCCTTCCACAACAAATTATGGAAGTAATGGTATACATTTTATAATTCATGGTTAAGTCTAAGATACATATGATTCATCTCACAAAGACAGGCAGTATCCTTATTTACAGGTCATGTGCAGTCACAGCAAAGTCACCTAGTTTTAGTATTATTTTTATTCTTGTAATATCCATAATAAAACATAAGGAAAAATAAATAAATAAATAAATAAAAATAAAACATAAGGAAGACAAAGGGCAACTCAAAAACTGAATCTATGATACTGGAGACAAATGTACTTTTCAAGGATCTAATTAAACTGATAGGAACAGGCAGTTCCAGCAAACAAATTCATTTTCATCCACTTAAATGCACATCCATTTTCCAAGTCCCACTCTCCACACCTACTCTAAAAGTTTTGTTCTCTTAGAATTTTTTCCCAACTTCCAAGTTATGCCATCAATTTTCATGATAATTTCAGAAACATGCAATTTTTAGAATTACTGCTTTTTCAAATAAAAAGTAGTTGACACTAAAGAAAAAAATACAGTTAAAAAAGCTGTTAACACTAGGATTTTTTTTTTTTTTTTTTGAGACAGGATCTCACTGTGTAGTTCAGGTTGGCCTCGAACTCACAATGTAGCCCAGGCTGGCCTAGAGTTAACAATACTTCTGCCTCAGCCTCCCCAGTGCTGGGAGTATAGGAATGTGCCACCAGGCTGGGCTAGGATCTATTTTTAGAACAGCACAGACAAAATACGTTCTAGGAAAATGGTAATTATACCAGTCACAGAAACAGCAACTACTAAAGCTCCATGATAATGGTTATTTGCTAAAATATTTAAAGCACGTTTTAATTTTTATTCTAAATTAAAAAGTGGCTGTGCAGAATTACAAGTCTCCACAATTAGAAGTTGGTGGACAGAGTACAAATAACTACAAGCTCCTGCAATAAAGCCTATCCATTAATATGAGTTTAAAGCTGATTGGAATGAAAAGTGCATACAGCATTTCAGTCTGGGGATAACGGTTTTACATTCACTTACTAAGTATATAAATATAATGAAAAATAAAAACCCAAATTCAAGATGCAAATGAACAAGGAGATTATGTCTGCTGACCAGTTTATCACTACCCTAATGGAAGACAGGAATTAAGTTTGCCTCTTAGAGAATGGTTTATACAGTAATTGTAGGGTTAAGTGACAACTATTTAAACTACTCCATTCTCAAAATTTATGGTCATTTTTGTAAACACAGGAAGCGATCAATAAACACTTATGGCTCTTTACCAGAACCTAAGTCCATTATTTCAAAAAAAAAAATTATACAGCATAATTCATGTCCCAGATCTCAGAATACGAGTATCTTTATATTTGAAACTTATATTCT